CATTATTAACTACACAAATGCTAACTTACAGTGTTAAAAGTTTTGTTTTTTACTGTAACTAACATTATTAACTACACAAATGCTAACTTACAGTGTTAAAAGTGCAGCAGTTACTGAAAATCAGTTTAACATCAGCTAAAAATTCTTCTTCATTGTGATAATGGTTGAAATGAGTTGGTGATATCTTTTGTTTGATGGTCATTAAGTCCATAGGTTTAGTGATGACCTTGTAGTAGTTGAGAACCTATCATAAAAGAAATGGCCAAAATGTTAAATCCCACAAAAGTTTCCACAGTACTTGTAGATGTAAACAGGATACTGGTAAACATGAGGTCTGCAAGTATGGAATCAGTGAATTTTTAAATTAATCCTTGTTGCAATATTCAGTTCTTTCATTTAGATCAAGCAATGAAAGATGAGAACAGTTTTAAAATGGAAGCTCAGTCATCACCATGCGTAATAAACTCATCGTACAACGCACCGGAAAAGTTTACACGTGAATACTTAAAAGCACGTTCACTGGTTTTGAAAAATAATTAGTGAAGTGTAAGGCCTGTAAGTGACCCAAAAAGATGGACATGTAACAAAATAACATAGAAATTACCTCTACAAGAAAACGGTTAATACAGCATAAAAAACCTACATTTTTGAATTAGTTTTAGACACATTTATGTTTTGTTGACAAGCCTGTGTTGGGTTATTATATATATCTTAAAAAAAAAAAAAAGGTCTATATAGAATTGAGTACAAACAAATAATTCAAACTTACAGTTCTGCTAACTGGGTGGTGAAACGGTAGGGTCGACTCGTGACAGAACAGTTCTAGAAGTATTCTCTCACAGCACTTGAAAAAAAAATTACCAAACTTTATCAAAGATCACACAGATTCACTAGTTAAATACATTTATGAGTGTAGAGTCAAAGATTGATAGTTCACTACCGGTATTAACATACTTCTAATGAAAGAAAACAACTGACCAATAATTTACGTCCACTCAAGCCAACTGGTGGTTTTCTTTTTGTTCCTGTACATTCTTTTGGAAGGGATGCAGTTTTTACATCCATACACATAAGACAAGTCCAATCATCACTGAAAGAATGAATGTTTTATGTTACAACTTATAAAGACATATATATAAAAAATGTTTACCACATAAGACAAGTCCAATCATCACTGAAAGAATGAATGTTTTATGTTACAACTTATAAAGACATATATATAAAAAATGTTTACCACATAAGACAAGTCCAATCATCACTGAAAGAATGAATGTTTTATGTTACAACTTATAAAGACATATATATAAAAAATGTTTACCACATAAGACAAGTCCAATCATCACTGAAAGAATGAATGTTTTATGTCACAACTTATAAAGACATATATATAAAAAATGTTTACCACATAAGACAAGTCCAATCATCACTGAAAGAATGAATGTTTTATGTCACAACTTATAAAGACATATATATAAAAAATGTTTACCACATAAGACAAATCCAATCATCACTGAAAGAATGAATGTTTTATGTTACAACTTATAAAGACATATATGTAAAAAATGTTTACGTTTTTTAAAACTTCTACAGATATATATGATACAATAATTTCACATCCAGCAGTCGTCACAATATTAGTCGTGTACCGTCATCGTCTCATAATCAGGTTCCTGTACAGGTCAAAGACATATACCATCCAACTGTGAATGGATTAATCAGAGCTGGAGGTTTTATTTTTGATGCAGTCAGATAGAGTAATATCTTGATATCATCTGTGCAGGCAGTGTTTGCCCCTTTGATGTTCAACCCCATGCAATTGCAACATGGAGATATAGTATATTCTGGTTCTGCACGTTGACTAGCAGGGCAGTGTCTTGGTTGGTTTGTCGTCACCAGACTCAGATTGAATTGTCATTTTTACTACTTTCTATATTAACAGTTCTTGTTCTATAAATTCCAGCTAGGTAAGTTTGTTATGGTAGTTGGAAATTTCACTTTAAGAGAACTCGATCAGTGTTTTTAAAAGTTGCTTGTACACCATATTATCTTAAATTCAGCTATCTTAAAATATTCACACACTTTTCTTTATTGTTGTTTTCTATTGTGTTTTACCATTGTTTATTTTACTATATAATAAAATATATCTACGTTTTTGTTGTACATTTTGTGTCTTGATGTTCCTGTGTCATTCTTTAAACTTCAACAACGACATTATTTCTATTTCCCCTTTCACTAAGGGTTACCTGTAACTAATTGATCTTACCCAAGATTATCATGTAATTACTTTAATATTAAAACTGATAAACAATTAATGTTACTTCAAAACAAAAACTAGTTATCTCATTGTCCAAATTATTAATACCTTAAGTTCTTGAGCTCTTAACCTTAATTATAAAATAATGAAGCATCTATAAGGGTTATATTAATACCAAGAACAAATAGTAGAAGTTGAAGACATATTGTTTTAAGTAGGAAATGTAGTTGTAAACTAGGTTGTTTAAATATTTTAATAATTGACACCCCTTTAACTGGAGTTTTCATTTTGTTCTAATGCTTTTTGTTAGAAATTATAATTGACAAAAAAAAACAAGGATTAATTCAAGATTAACAGTATGCAAAGAGAGTTCTTGACCTACAACACTAACCTTAACCTACATTACTTACATTGACTTACATTACTAACCTTGGCCTACATTACTTACCTTAACCTACATTACTAACCTTAACCTACATTACTAACCTTAACCTACTTTACTTCCTGAAACAATAATCTATTGTTTTTACAGTTACAGTCTAGAAGACTTACCTTAACCTACTTTACTTCCTGAAACAATAATCTATTGTTTTTACAGCTACAGTCTAGAAGACTTACCTTAACCTACTTTACTTCCTGAAACATTGTTTCAGGAAGTAAAGTAGGTTAAGGTAAGTCTTCTAGACTGTAGCTGTAAAAACAATAGATTATTAATCTATTGTTTTTACAGCTACAGTCTAGAAGACTTACCTTGGAGTTGAACTAAGAGAAGGGACATGACACTGTAAGTGATAAACACGAGGACAATTGCTACAACAAAGCAGTTCTCCACCGTCGTTACATACTGCACACCAATCTTCATTTGGATCATCTTGTGTGTCTCCTGTACTGTCATCACTAGGGGTACATTTGTTGTTTACAGATTTATTCATTGCTTGGTCTTCAGTAGCAGACTGGGAGACTGTTTCAATATCTTTCTTTTTTTTCGCATAGCGTTTTCTTTTTGCCGTAGATTCAGTATTGTAGGTTTCTCGTTCCCCTTTGGATTTTTCTTTACCTTGGTAGGTTAGATGGTCTGGAAGTGTTGTCAAAATGGCCTTGCTACTATTTTTTTGTCCATTAACAACAGAACTATCATAAGTTTTATTCCTAACTGGTAAAGCTGATGTTTTTTTCAAAATATTTGGTTTTGAAAGACAATTGATGTTATTCTTTCTGTTAACCGTTTTCTTTTCTAACTTCATTGTGTATTTTCTTTCTGGATTGGATCCCGAATTCCCCATTTCGTGAGGGAGGTGCACTGAGCCATCGCCTCCTGTAATCGATACAATTATTGGACACGGCTCTAATGGTGGAAAACTGGAACTGTGGTCATTTTGTTCTTGTGCATTTACGCTTGAACTGCTTTTGTCTAAACCCTAACAAAGGTAAAGGTATACAAATTAAAAAGTGTCTGTTCAGTAACTTGTGAAACTTAAAACTTCATACAGAATGATACAACAAAGTTTTCAATTGACATCGTTATTATCGCATAACAACAATTACACAACAAGTGCATTATTTGATACTAAAATATCCATCTTTCAAACATAAGGAATAGTTGACCCCTTGATAGTGTGGACTAATACTTACTAACGATCAACAAATTTAGTTATAAAATACACAAATATTGACCAGGAAATTAAAGAATGGTCCTAATGACGTGTTGGACCACTTCCATCTTGAATAAAGGCAATAACACAATATGGCACCAATTTCATGGGATAACAAAAAAAGATATCTTGAAATTTAATACCATTCCTGGATGAAGACAGTGGCTCAAAGAGAATGACAGTTGTGATCTATTCCAGATGCAATATTCTAACACATCCCAAAGATGCAGGATATCAGGAAAACTGTGATGGTCAGGTATATATTTGAACTCCATGACCTGTTCCCAAAACTAGTCCTGAACGATATAGGGTTAATGGATGGACACACCATCATCCTGAAACATGCATCACCATAGAAGTACTGTAAGATGGAATACATCTAGTCAGCCACAATACCTAAATCAGTGGCTGATTCAAATTGACTTGCATTTTTTTACAGAAATAGTCTTTCAAAGGTCATCATTTTCAAGACGGAGGTAAAACTTGACCAATAATTTAGTTAGTGAGTTGTGTAATCGGTGCTTGCCTATTATTTCTTTTCGTTCATCTGCAATTGCTCTTGCTGTGACCGGGTACATGGAACCGGTATTCAACCAAATTTTACTACCCGTGCATCCCTAGTCTAAAGCATCACACTTGTCTACATGAAGTGAATATACCTCATTGAAATTAAACTTGTTTAACATTTACAATTTTATCATATTTAATTTTAACTTAGAAATAATTTTTCTGACTTGTAGAAATGCAAAATGGTGGTGCTTTCCTTTATTAGATAAGATTATTGGATTAGATCTAAACACGCTAGGCAGAAAAAACATGCACTCAGAACCTACCTTTTCTTTTGTAAAACTATGCCTCAAGTTATTTTGGAAAACCCCAGAATTAGATGTCCTCCATTGCATAGGATTAGCAAACTCACTCTGAAACACAATTATACATAGATAATAATAATTAAATGGACAGTTTAGAAAAAAACAAAACAGTAAATAGCTGTTTTTCATAAAAATAAAATTTCATCAAACTTTAAAGGGACAAAAAAAGAGCTTATTAACCCATCAAGGATGTCTCTTCCAGCTATAACCACCCCTTACTACTCATGTATTCATCAAATTTTGTTTTGAACTCGGTTACAATTTCTGCCTCCACCACCCTTGAAGGCAGCTCATTCAAAAAGCCAACCACACTGTTTAAAGAGTAATACTGTCTAAACCGCAATACACCAAATAAGTTTTCTTGGAAGGTGGTTCTCACTGCTCATTAACACTACGTACACGGATAAGGTCACAATGCGCGTGTCACGACGTTTTACAGAGTAAACCTTCAAAACTTAATTAAACTAATTTATTATTAATGTATATCAATAAACTTAGCATCAAAATGTAGTTAACAAATCATATATCATATAAGAATTAATTTCTTAGTTCAAGAGGAAATGCTCAATACTCACTCTTATATGACATCTACATTGTAAGTTGTTCAAATTACTTTTTTTTTCACTTCTCCCATTCATCAACAGTGCCTAACCAATTAAAAACTCAACCTTCACATATTCACAATATAAACATAAACATTTATTACAGCCTTGTAATACAGGGCAAACTTTTCTTAGGGATTAGCAGAAGAAATGTTTAGCCTAATTACTATATTTAATAGCCAAATCAAATAATTTAATGTAATTAATACAATCATGCAACAGTCTCCTGCAGTTTGCGGGAATCCAATTGGGAAATGATACGCATGCAACAATACATATGGCAACTCTGAGATTTCTTTACGTATCCTCACAAAAACTGGTACGATTGTGTTAAAGATTATAAGTATCTTGTACACAAAGAATGACGTTATTTTAACTACTAAAAACATGTTACTTATCTATTGTAGTTATTTACACTCAGAATCTGAATAATTCGAGTGAAAGGTGATTTTTTATTTAGGTATAAAAAGTACTTTTCTTCGTCTTACAGTTTTTGAGTTTTATTTGCATAGCCTCTAGTACCTCCTAAATGAATATCAAACATTTTTTTAAGGTAAATATTTATATTTTATTTTTTCCATCACATCACTAACTGTAAATATTATCATCAACACACAGCGCAATAAATGTTTAAAATTAAGAAACAGACAGTTGTACATACCTTATAATGTCTTAAAAGATCTGCTTTCAGTGATATTTGCAATTTAAGGTCTTTTCCTTTTCACATATATTTAATTATCCTTAAATCACATAAAACTTCAAATTATAACATACATTATAATGTTAATTTTATTGACTTGCGGCTTGTGTAGAAATGGATTTAAAGAGGTACCTGTTGAAAAAGGGTTAACATGTGAACTTTTAGTTTTATTGTCTCTTTTGACTTTACCAACAAAAATTCATATTACCTCATTTACTTAAAACACCACCTTTGTTGTACGGTCCTTATTTTTCAATTTCAAGGAATTTCTACTTGTCTGTCCACTTCTTGGCTAGCTCCTTTTTAAGACTTATATTGGCTTTCCTTCTACTTTTGTATTTGGTTTTGTTTTCTTCTGTTAATTTATACAGTCTCCACAAAAATCATACTTTAAAGCTTCTTCAGAAGAATTTTACTAAAAAACAAACCATAACTGACAGGCTGAAGCTTTCAAAGAAGAAGTAGTAACAAAACCGAGTACTAGACCGTGAGCATCACCTTGTGAAGAAGAAGAAGGATGGACCCACACAGTTCTCCATGGACTATCAGAGGGTGAACAGAATCACAAAGAAGGATGCCTACCCACTGCCTAGGCCTGACTAAGGATGCCTTCTCACTGCCAAGGCCTGACTGTACTTTGTATGCTCTATCAGGATCAAAATGGTTTTCAACAATGGATCTGAAAAATTGATATTGGCAAGTAGGAGTTGACAATGCAAATAGACAGCCTTTACTGCAGGAAATGGATTGTGGGAATTTATTGTGGTTTATACCAAACACCTTATATGTTTCAATTACCCATGGAGTGTGTTATATCTGAACTACCTAGTGTGTTATATCTGAACTACCTTGGAATGTGTTATATCTGAACTACCCAGTGTGTTATATCTGAACTACCCAGTGTGTTATATCTGAGATATAACACATTCCAAGGTAGTTCAGATATAACACATTCCAGGGTAGTTCAGATATAACACACTGGGTAGTTGAACTACCCATGGAGTGTGTTATATCTGAACTACCCTGGAATGTGTTATATCTGAACTACCCATTCCAGGGTAGTTCAGATATAACACACTGGGTAGTTCAGATATAACACACTGGGTAGTTCAGATATAACACACGATCCAGTACTTTCCGTAGCCTACAGGCATCATCATCACAGACAAGCGATCCAGTACTTTCCGTAGCCTACAGGCATCATCATCACAGACAACCGATCCAGTACTTTCCGTAGCCTACAGGCATCATCATCACAGATCTTCCCATGTGTGATTATCTCATCCAATTAAATGAGTGTGACATTCCAAGGTAGTTCAGATATAACACATTCCAAGGGTAGTTCAGATATAACACACTCCATGGGTAGTTCAGATATAACACATTCCAGGTAGTTCAGATATAACGGTTGTCTGTGATGATGATGCCTGTAGGCTACGGAAAGTACTGGATCGGTCATCTGTGATGATGATGCCTCTAGGCTACGGAAAGTACTGGATCGTTGTCTGTGATGATGATGCCTGTAGGCTACGGAAAGTACTGGATCAGTTGTCTGTGATGATGATGCCTGTAGGCTACGGAAAGTACTGGATCGGTTGTCTGTGATGATGATGCCTGTAGGCTACGGAAAGTACTGGATCGGTTGTCTGTGATGATGATGACTGTAGGCTACGGAAAGTACTGGATCGGTTGTCTGTGATGATGATGCCTGTAGGCTACGGAAAGTACTGGATCGTTGTCTGTGATGATGATGCCTGTAGGCTACGGAAAGTACTGGAGCAGATGAAGAAAGTGAACCTCAATCTGAATCCCAAGTATAAATTGTTCCATTATCAGATCAACTTAGTTGAGGAGCTTACACAGACCCAACTAAGAGTGAATCTTGGCCAACACAAAAAGAACTTGCATGAGGTAAGAGGATTTCTTGGATTATGCCCTTTCTATTTCCATTTTGTAAAATCATTCTCTGACATAATTTGTCCTCTACACACATTATTTGAAAAACCAAATAAGTTTTGTTGAACTGCTCTTGTGGAAAACAATTGACACTACTCTTGTATTAGCATTTCCTACTTTTTAAAGTTACAGATGCCAGTAATTTTACAGTAGAAGCAGCATTATGACAAATAAATACAAAAAGAACGTGTGACTGCAAGCTATAGCAAGGCAATGAATACAGTAGAAAGTAGGTGTTGTTTCAATCAGAAAGAGGTACTGCTTGTTCTTTTAACCTTGGGTCATTTACATCATTACCTACATACATAAAATTTTACACACTGGATAGATCATGCAACATTGAAGTGTTTGGTGAATATTTAAAATCCAGAAAGCCAAACAGCAAGATAGTTCCAGAAACTTCAGAAGTATAACTTTAACACTCTGCATCAACCTAGAACCTGAACAGAACTATGAAAATACTGAAGTATTATCCTGAACACCACATGTTGCCGAAGATTGTAAACACCGTGAAAAGTGGAAAGCACAAGGTAGTAAAGATGACGAACCTAAAGTACAATGAAGTAAAATCCAAGGTGTTACATCCAAAAGTGATGATGAAGAACTAATGTGGTCCAACACTCATCTGAAAGATGCTCTAGCAAAAGATACGTAAACACGATTGTAAACACCATGAAAAGTGGAAAGTACAAGGTAGTAAAGATGACGAACCTAAAGTACAATGAAGTAAAATCCAAGGTGTTACATCCAAAAGTGATGATGAAGAACTAATGTGGTCCAACACTCATATGAAAGATGCTCTAGACGTGCCTGAAACTAATTTCCCACAGTGCATTTGTAGAGAGCTTTTACTCGATTTCACTTACATTAGAATAGAACAGAAACCCCCACGAAGTCATTCACTAACTAAAGAGAAGTAAAACCAAGAAATGCTGAAACTGTATCAATATCAGGGAGGCCCATACTCATAACGTAGTACTTCTTTTATGTCAAATGTAGCTCTTTTAAACAAATCAATCAAGTAACACCCTAAACTTTTTAATTTGAGGGTATTTGTGTTCCAAATGTTGAGATTATATTGTCAATAAAATGGATTCATTAACTGTATACAACAAATGAATGCTGTTTTTGAAATTTACTCTTGACTTGATCTCTTTTTTTTTATCTAGTTTAACAACAATTTAAGCATAAAATATTGTCTCTTTATCATTCTTGGAGTAGATTAGAAACAATATTGTTCACTGATGTATTTTAAACACTACTAACAATGAAGACCTCCTTACCAAATTGTAACAAATATTATGGGTTAAATATCAACTATCAACATGACACACCACTAACTTTTAAAAATTAATGTATTCATTTGTATTTGAATCAATATGTTTTATTATCCTAGTAAATAGAATCAATGACATGAGGTTATAAGTAGTTTAATCAAAACATGAGCTAATTACCAAAGTCCTAGAAGCAGCATCAACAACCGATTCTTTATTTGTTACTGTAAAGGCACCATTTTCACTCGAGACACCTGGTTCTTGTTTCACTATAGGTCCTTTACCAATAATCCTGGAAAATCCCAAAGTTCTTCCATCATAACGTGTTACAAGTTTTTCATTTTAATGCAGCATAACTCAGTGATGTTGAATAAAGAACCGTGCATTTATTCACCTTAAAAACAACGAATAACTTTATAGTTCCACTACGTTTTAAAATCAATGTCTCAGACTTCTAACATCAGTTTGATGATCAATCTATCCAGAATAAAAAACTGTTAAGCCTAACATTCTCTCATAATTGTATTTTCTCATCCTCATAATTACGAGCTGTGGTTTTTACTAAGCTGTCTACTATAGAAAACTAACCAGTAAACAGATTTAAGGTTCAACTAATTCAGTTTACTTTTAGAAAAAAACACACATGTAATAGGAACAAAATTGTAAAACGGGAGTAAAAATTAATACATTTCACAAAAGCACATATACCATGCAAGGTTTGTTTTCTAATTGCAATGGGTTAATATATTTCAGCTGAAATAGTTTAGTATCCTGTTAAGTCGAACGTGTGTATAAATGATAACTGTTCAAAATATGCTAGTTACAGGTTGAAATGGATTACACAAAAAAACAGCATCTTAAAACACCAAGAAATCAATATTCATTGTTAAAACGATAGCTATTATTAAGATGTAGCTTTAATCATTTATAAATTTTCATTTTATGCCTTTATTAATTACTGGTACAAATAATACAAACCAACGTATTACAAAACAAACACATTTAATAAATTAACTGGTTAAAGTAAAACAATAAATACAATATTATTTAAACATGTTGCATGAATTACCAACATAAATTATACCTACAATATTAACATATTGTATTTTCAGTTTTAATTTAAATGTTTATTTGCTAAAGAGAGCTCGTCATTACATGATGATGATGACATAATGATCCAAAATTTTAATATACTACGTGGAATGCCCAACTCACACGTAGTTCCAAGCAAAGTTAGTACTTGGTCAGATCTTTTCTGATGCATGCTAACTGCAGCTGTCAAAATTTTCTTGCCCCCAATTGCTCTACGGACATGGCAACCTTTTAGTTAGGTTTACATTATTCACACTCTGCATACACTTCTTGATGTTGTGGAGTTAATATACTTACCTGAGAAGTAAGGTGTACACCACAACTTACCTGAGGGATAAGGTGTACACCACAACTTACCTGAGGGATAAGGTGTACACCACAACTTACCTGAGGGATAAGGTGTACACCACACTACGATTATCAAAAGCAGAGAATATTTTTAATCATGTGTAAAATTACGTTTATTACAATGAAAATAATTATCCAAGTAATAAGATAAAAAACAAAAACTTGGAATTTGAAGTTACAATATTTTCCCCATTCCTACAGAGATGGATGAGAAACATTAACTAAACAAAAACATGAAGTTACATCCTTACAATATTTCCCCATTCCTACAGAGATGGATGAGAAACATTAACGAAACAAGAACATGAAGTTACAATATTTTCCCAATTCCTACAGAGATGGATGAGAAACATTAACTAAACAAGAACATCAAGTTACAATATTTTCCCCATTCCTACAGAGATGGATGAGAAACATTAACTAAACAAGAACATGAAGTTACAATATTTTCCCCATTCCTAGAGATGAATGAGTTCTTGTTTAGTTAATGTTTGATGGGAAGTTACAATATTTTCCC